CGAAACATACTTTCGCTTTGTAGATCCTTTACATATTAGTAAATATATATCAGAAATTCTATTTGACATAATCGTAAGTTCAAGCTTACTTTTATAAAATTGCTCTAACAGTCTGCAAAAAATAAGCCGGATCCAATTCAAAGATTAAGGAACAACGCAATCTGCTACATTAACTGAATTAGATAATTTTAGCTTAGCTTATACCGTCCGTTATACATTAAACGCGCATGCGCACACGTATTATGCGCATGCGCACACGCATATTCGCAGCCGTAAAGGTCTTACGTGCATGCTTCAACGCGACGCATGCGCAGAAAGTTTGTAGCTTTGAGGTCCGAATTATAGATCATTCCGGATTATGGGTGTCCGAATTAACGACTTTTGACTGTATTGTAACAGCGAAGATTCTAAGCAGAATTATCATGTATCAGCGAGGAAATGGGACTATTCGCCGTGGCCATTTCACCGTGGCCGTTTCGCCGTCGGGACGTTTCGCCGTCAAGACATATTTTTCTGTACACGATTACATTATATCTTGCCGTATTATATTATGTTGATTTAAATTAATAACTCTGTTTAGTTTAACAATTTAATTTACTTTAATAATTATACACAAAACATTTTATATATTATTTTATATAAAATGTTTTGTGTATAGTTTTATACAAATACACCGTTACATATGACTTATTAATTTTAAGAGAGTAAGGTGCTGACAAGATTCTAAATTTCCATTTTCCATTCAGATTTCATAAAAATGTGAATTTCCTGCTTGTACAATTGCTTTCTCTAACTAGCCGATTATATTTCAGGAAATTTGGACGAATCACGAAAACAGTGTACTTGCATAATTTTAAAATCGATAATATAACTTCTGTTATATCAGAAGTTTAGCTCCAGTTCTCTTTGATACTGACATAATTTTCCAACTAACTATGTGTAATGTCTTTATTTTTTATATCTGTAAATAACTACATATAGTAAAATCAACCTTTATTGAGTATACAAAAGATAAACAGAATTATTAAAATAATAAATTTAATACGAGTATAATACGGCAAGATAAAGTATAGTCATGTAAAGAAAAATATGTCTTGACGGCGAAACGTCCCGACGGCGAAAGATCCCGACGGCGAACGGCCACGGTGAAATAGCAACGGCAAAAAGTCCAGAATTTTTAATTAATCAATTTCGTCTCTATTCATAAATTATAATGGAAACGAATTTTCTGTTATGAACAAAATTTGGTCTCCAGAAAGAAGTCGACTACAAATATCAACAGTGAAGGAATTTTAAAGTTGAAAAAAATTCAAAATAGCCATGTAGTGATTTTTAAAGAGCATATAAAATCGAAAAACGAGTTTCCAAGGAAAATATTTCCTAACGAAAACTAGGCAAGCTTGGAACAGAAACCACAAACCAGCCGTCTACATCATTGTCAGAGTAGACATGGTACAAAAGGGATGTAGTCTGCTTTTCAATATCTCGAATATTTTTTGGTCCTTTTTATATGATTTCATTTTATTCCTTCATTCCAGTTTTTATTTGTCATAAAGCTTTTATAATGCACATATTTTAGACTTCTTAATCATTGAAATTAAATTTTCATAAATTTTTCTGAACATGGGCTTCCTAACATAATTGGGGGTGGAAGATTGAGACAAATGACAACCTCAATAATTTTTTATTTAATTTTTGAACTTTAGGGAAAGTTACAAGTAGATTACAGAATACAGTACTGCAACAATACAAAAAATATATTCATACAATCCATGAATCAGTAGAAAAGCGTTTTTCACTCGACTCCAGATGGATGATGTGAACCATAGCCCTTTGTAAAAGCCCATTGTCCTAGATTCTCGTTCTTAAAATATGGTAACTATGAAATTACGTAATTTAGACTTATTAGGCGACTTTCTGACAGAATAAGAAAAGAGAGATAATTTTCGCAGCATTCCAATTGCAAACGATCTTATTTTGCACTAGATCTTTTAACAAAGTGAATTCTAAAATATTAGAATTCTGTTGATCTTCTGACCTTATATTATTTTTACTTAAAATATAATATAAGTGTTCTATTATCAAATGCATTTTTCTTCAAGGATCTTGAAACACTCACGCCTACATAGGGACTTCTACATTTGTTTATCATTTTCATATGCTAACTATACCATCATGCAAAAGGCATACTGTCTAAGACAATTTTATTCTGTTTCCTTCAGTATGAAAGACAAACATTTTTAGTTTGGGAAAACCTTTTTTTGATAACGAATCAAGGCTAACGTCTAAAAGTCATTAAAACTTGTCAGAACGTTGCATCAATATAAGAGCTAAATAAAGTTAAACTCTCTGTTTAGTGTTCGACAGTTGAAAATGTCTTAGTGATGGAGAGAAGAAAAAAGGAAACTTCTACAGTAAAACTCGGCATTCTAATCGGTGCACGTGATTTTCTTCAAGTGCTATTGTTTAAGAGAGAAAGTAGATAATTTAACCTCCGTTAAATAGCGATAGAGACGTGACAAGAGCCCGTTAGTCCAGCGACTGAAAAAAGATCTCCTGCTGCGATGTGGGTCATCTCTCGTTCTCTTTATTCGGTAGTTGAGGTTTGGAAGAGTGCAATCCAGTTTCGATTCTGAATTGATGTTCATTTTCTTCTACAGTGATGGCCTGTCTGGGTTCCTAGTCGTGACATAATGGATGCACACCTGTGCTTCAGGGTGAGGTTAGGTCTTAAAGGCGTTTCGCTTCCGCTCTTCGAACGAACAAATGCTCATTATGGGTTTGTTTTCGTCCACGAGTTGGCTATTACTTATGTGCGGTGTTACGATATCTTTCCTACTGGTAAAGATAATCGCTTAAAGCTGTAAAAGATTGTTGTATTTTCATTTTATTCGCTCGCTCGCTAAGTTGGTAATCCTTTTAAATCGCAACTTATAAGGATATAAGATATATACAATTATCACTTTATTCTCATTTGTCAATACTTCAACTTTTGATTTTAGTGCTTGATTATTTCTAATTTGTTAAAATGGATTTATTGTGTTTGATAAATCTGTCAAAGCTAGCTGTTTGTTATGTTATAAAATAGATCTGTTAGCTTAATAAAATAGATCTGCTTGTTAAAATATATCTGTCTACCAGTCTGCTAACAATAAGCTCGGTTTTTTGTTTAGTTACAGTGAGATAATATTTCCCCTATTATTTTATTGACGTGATATTTTTTTAGCCTTCTGGTCATGATCTGATTATATGCAGCAATACTTTTGTTAAAGGTGTATTGCTAATCTATAAACAATTCTTTCGTTTTCGAAGTCATAGAATTCCTTGCCAATTTATTAACAATGGCTTCGTTAAGAACGAAGAGTTTCTAGTTTAGTTTGGTTTATTTCATTAAGGCAAGTTTCGCTGAAGTTTGGTTTTAGTTTGGTTTCGTTTATTTTTCGAGGCAAAGCACTCGAGGGCAATCTGCCTAAGAGAAGGAGGTATGCTTTCATGGAGGACTTTCTGAGGGAAAGTTGATCGTATACACGTTACACATGGAGAAAATCTCGAATACGCCAATGCAGCCAGCTCGTTCGCAGGGATTCGAACTTCGGGCCGAAATACCAGTGTTCAGCGGCTCACCGCTCTGCCGATGGTGGGCCCAAAGTGATTCTGCTTGAATGCGTATATTTCTTGCTGTTTGATGAAAATCGTAATAATAATAATATACATATTTTGACCAATATTACTTCACTACCAAAAAAAATCAAAATTTATAAATTAGTCTCATTCCGAATACAAAGTAGCTTTCATATAAATTGTTCATTGCTCCATGTTTCTAGAAAATCTGCATTGCACAGTTCTTATAAGTTTTAGGAATAAATATTCATAAAAATGAAAGAGATTTGAAAAATCCCAATTTAGCATTTTACGTATATTTGTAATGTTGGGCTGGTTTATTGATGATGGAAATGGGAATGTTACTGTGTAGATTATGACAACTCACACGCGAGCTACTTGCTCAAGGAGAAAAGGACCAGAAATTTTCACACTTTCATGATTTAAAATTATTTTAAGTTATATATATGTATTATTAGTAAAACGAAATTCCATCACAGAGCTCTAGTATCGTCTAGCATTTGTTTGCACTGCCCCCAGCACTCGTCTTGAGCTCAATATGTACCAAAGTGTGTTATGTTGATCAAGTTATCTCCATCAGCGGGGCTACCTGGCCGATATGCTAACTGCCCCAGTGGACCGGCTGCCTCGCTGTCGGTGGAAAGAAAAGAGATAAAGTAAAATGAAATTAAAAACTGGAATTCAAATTTTTACCTTCAAATAAGTAATAAACTACCAGTAATTCTACAGGCAAGGGTTCAAACTTTGACCTGTAGGAAACTATTTATTTGCGACTTTCAGAATGGGTTATATACGATTATACTGGTAATTTAAAAAGTTTGCCAAAGGTTTGGTTTGGTTTGGTAGATTATGGCAAAGCACACTAAGACTATCTGCCTAAAAGAAGGGATGCCTTCGTGGAGGACTTTCTAAGAGAAACTGGCTCGTATACTCGTTACACACGGAGAAAACCATCAAAATGCCCGTGCATCCAGCCCGTTCGCTTAGAATCGAAGCCAAGCCGGAACTACAAGTGCTCAGTGATTTTACCGCTTGTGGGTATAGTTAGCGAAAGAAAAAGGGGAAAAGGGAAATTTTCACTCTTAAGGATACTTTGAACTTAACAAACATACTCGTTCTTTTAGAATAAAACACAGTGTGCTATCAATGTAAACTGTGGCGAAAAATATTAACTATGTTCATTAAATTCATCATCAAGTATATCTATAACATTTATATTAACTTTGGTACCAATAAAATACTATACTCCAGAAACTTTTAATGCTAAAAAAAAACGAAAAAGGTTTTTCACAAAGATAATAAAATCAAATCGGAGCTTTATCAGCTCCTTTATCAGCACTGAAAACTGGAAACAAAAATTTAAAAAAACGCAAACGTACTGAAATCTTAGGGTGACCTTCTAAACGAAAACATACTTAATTCTTCAGACGACCAAACTGTGTTCTTTGTAGAACTCAAAGCTGCTCTGCAGATGCACAAAACTGAAAAAGAAAAGAATGCGATAATCAAAGTGTCCAGTAGTACAATTAGATATTTAAACATGTGTTCAAATTGGATTATCCTTTTAAACTTTGTGTGCGGAAGTGCCAAAAATTGAGTGCGTTCTGTAAAAATTATTACCTTCGAGGAGGATGATCGTAGACTCCAAAATTACTGCGTAAGAAACTTCTAAAAGATGCGGTCTTCTGTAAAATCTTGAAACGCGAAAGCAGCACTGGCTCAAAGTTGAAGAAAAGGAAAAGTATATGTCATAAAAGATAAAAGTCGTCACGTAAATCGGTTACAGAATAATCGGTAATCGGAGTCTTAGAAGCTAAAAAATACCATTTTTTTTAGTAACATCTAGAAGATTTGCCAGTTATTAAATTTACAAGATAGTAGAAAGGTAGTGTAAATAATAATTGAAAAGAAAAAGAAACAAGGATCTCTGTACATATTTACAATTAGATTTCCTATCGAAGTTATCCAACTTTACCGTTATTCAAAGATTAACTGTTAGGTTTTATTGAGAAAATGCATCTGAAGTTTCAAACATTTTACGTATGTAACCCTGAAATTTATGCCCTCAGATTACAATTTGTGGTAATAATTACAATTTATGCAGCTTAGGAAAAACTTCTAATGAAAGAAAAATGGAGCTGTCACGCGAGCATTATTGTGTTATGACTTTCTATGATTTTAAAGGGCAGCTAAATCAAGGAGAATGCGTTTAACGTCTGCAATTATCATATGGAAATGTAGTAGTGATAAAAGAACGAGACAAATTAGGAAACGCAATGTTGTTGGTATAAATATGGTTAATAGGGTATTATTATAAATATGAATTAGAATTGTAATTTTTTTTAATGGTTATATACTGTAGGCATTAAAAATAATTTAAATTTTATTATTTAAAACAAAATAATTAAAAATTATAATTAAAAAATTTTTAATATAAAAATCTGAAAGTTTTCAAATTTCTATAGGTTTTTATGGGTTTTTTTAACGTTTTGTGGGTTATTTGTATTTGTTAAATATCATGTTCTTCTCATTTAAACCATAAAATTCAGTTCAACAGCAAAATAATTTTAAAATGAGCATTTCTTTAAAATTTTTGATGCACTGTCTCCCGCACTGGAGATAAAAATGTGTTTTTTTTTTCGTACAGTGTTACCAGTGCTCGCTTTTAAATCGTTAACTTTTATGATTAAAAATTCGTTAAAGTTTTACAAAATATGAAACAGACATTAGAACAAATTCCAAATTTCGGCTTCCAGATGCCCCTATTCGAGTGGAAACGTACGTTATTCAAAATTTGATGGCTCTAGGTACCGTTGGTTTATCACAATGCGAGAAACATACATACATTTATGCAGATTCTTCATTACTTAATTTCTTTAAATATAATGCAGGACTCTAAAATTTGGTGGCAACAGTTTGAAAAGTGAACCGATATTTATAGTGAATCAACGCAAAATGCCAAATCGAAAGTAATAGTCTTTCGGGACCCAAATCCCTTTGGACTTAAAAATAAATAAATAACTAAATAAATAAAATTTAAAAAAGGCAAAGAATTTGCCCCCTTCGAAAAAATTGGAAAGAAATATTTTGGAAGATTTTTAACTTTTTTAAACTTATTAGAAAATAAGTTGATCTAAATTTTTATAAAACTGTAAAATGGTGTAAATAAATGTTGTTTGGAGAAAAGGAGCATAGTAGTGAAAAAAAATAATAAGCTATTATAAATTATATAATAAATTATATAATATTTATATATGCTTATTATTTTAAGCCATTTTTAAATATATAATAATTTATATAATTATTAATAAAAATTATTAATAATTATAATAAAATATAATTATAATAAAAAATAATAAGCAATTTAAAATTATATCGAGTCTGTCTGTGATTGTAGCAACGGTGGTGAGGAGAATGTTGAACATGTGCTGCTTCTATGTCCTAAATATGAGAGCGAAAGAAGTCTTGAAACTGGGACTGTAAAATTTTAATATTAACTGGCCTCCAGAATTTTACCAATTTATTTCTGAGAGAAGTGCCTTTAACAGTTTTTGTCAATTCATTGTAAAATTTTGTAATCCTTCTTAATTTTCTCTTCTGTTTATTTTGTATTGTGTTTCATACTTACTTCTGTAAGCCCCATATGATGTGGTACATGGAGAACTCCTTGTGTTCTTTTAATAATAATAATAATAATAATAATAATAATAATAATAATAAAGCTGTTGGGAAATTTGCATTACCCTTTGCGACTTCACAGTTGTAAAGAGTCAAAGTTTTCAACGCTATATAATCCCGCGGTGGAAGCTAAGATATGTCTAAGAATGTGTGCCCTACTGATCTGCCTATCCGTCGTGTGTGTCGTCCTGGTTATCGACGTCAGCAGTAGCAATGATTCTCTCCAGCGTGCTGTGATAATGTGAATCACGGAGTCTTGAATTGGAGTATGGCTGTTGAAGACGAGAATAGGAAATAGAAATCTATCAGAGTATCCCAGCATTTATATGAAGAATCGCATGGAACTAAAGCCAAATATCTGCCGCCAACTACCTAACTACCTGCTGACCTAAAGGTTTGGTTTGGTTGTGTTTATATAATTACAGCAAAGCCTCGAGTGCTATATGCCTAAGGGAGATTCCTTCATAGAGGACTTCCTAATCTGACCTAAAAGAATTGCCAGGTAGATTACACTGATATAACGCAGCAGTCTATACCAGCCAAGTTAGTCGCCTGTTATCCAGCAGAGGTTTTGTTTCTCACAAGTTATAGCCTCACATGCCTTGCTCATATATTTTTGTTAAGCTCAAGAAAAGCATCCATTAAAACTAATGTGTAAGATTCTGTGCTGTGCACTTTTAAGTTACAGTTGAATTTGAAGAATCTTAAGAACTGGTAAGCGAATAATCGCTTGAGTTCGTGAGACAGTAAACTCAGACTTGAAGGTTAAGAGCTTATTATTCCAAATTAAAGTTTAACAGAACTCCGTCTTGGAGTTTACAATAAAGCCGCACTCGGGCTGAACTCAAAAACTAAGAAATTACTTACTAATCTTAACTAAAAAGATATAGCCGAAGCTATCAAGATTCTAACTGAGTTGGCCCCTTAAAGCTAAATAACGGCGAAGCTATCAAGGGCCTAAAGTACGGCCGAGCGTAATAATAGCTTAAGAGAGAGTAGCCTAAAAAGGCGGGCACGTGCTAGCCAGAATCACTGGTACTCTCTCTCGAATATAGTAGAACTTCGAGGTTAAATACTTCCCCTCAATTTGCATCCAAACGTGTTTCTAAAACTACGCTCTGGCCGGAAGTTGTAAGCTGAAATTGAAATCCAGAAAGACAGGAAAAGAACTTTATCTCAAAATAACTGTTAAAGAAATTAACATAATCCTTACAACTTACATCAAGTATGCTCCTTTGATAAGCAACCACGTTTTACACTAAACAAATATTTTCAACCTCGCTAAAAAATAAACAATAAAAAGGATGCACCTGTTTTGGTGTTCATAATACGGCTTAGAATAAAAAGGATAATTTATTAAGTAATAGAGGTAGAAGTACTAATAATTTATTTACAATTGTTACGCATTTAGTAAATATCTTTTTTTTTTCAGGTTTAAATATGTTCTGTCAAAAGTAAAAAGAAAATTTAACATTATGTGCAGTTTTTGAAATCTTAATTTTTTTTTAATTAAGAAGAATTTTATTACTGATAAGTTTAATTTTGATAATCTGAATTTCTTGAAGAAGGTTTTCATTATAGTGCAAATATTTTTAATTCTCAAATATCTAGTGGATTTTTGTGTTGGCAATTACTTTTTAGATACTGGAATTCCATTGTATTAGTTTACTGGTATATTTTCTTTTATCAAAAATCAAAATCATTTTACAATTGAAAGTTTAAATGTCAAGGTTTTGCTTTATTGCGTTTCAGGCATTCTGGATAGATATCAGCATTTTCAATTAAATTTCAAAATTGTTGAAGGTAATCATGTTCTCTATTTATCAGAAAGTAAAATTAATTTTTTTTTCAATATGTAAACAGTTTCACATAAAACAAAAGGAAGAAATAATTTTTTGTCATCAGAATTTCAATTAATTTGTTTGAATATTTTATTTTAAAATTTAATAAAGTTACTTAAAAGTGAACTTTTGAGATATATAACCCACTTTTTAAAGTTATGGATGCTATTGTGCTCTGAAAAGATTTTCTATAGTGTAGTAAGACTTTTATTGGTTTCGCTTAAAGGAAGAAAGGTGCAAAGATTTTCAAAATCATAACAATTGATGTTATCAATGTAATTGTTTTTAACGTTTTTAATAGTATTTTTATTATTTTTAATGATCCAGCAACTGTTTTGAAGTGGCAATGTGATTACAAACTTCTTTTATTTTTAGCCAAAAGGACTATTTTTAGCTCAGAAGGACTATGAGTCTCGAAATAGGATTTTGCTTTGAATCACTGTAAAACGCTGAATCACTTTTCAGATTGTTGCCACCAAATATTATCACCCTGTATTATATTTGAAGAAATTAAATAATGAAAAATCTTTCATAAATGTATGTATGTTTCTTGCATTGTGATAAAACAACGGTACGTAGAGCCCGTCAAATTTTGAATGACGTAATCTTACTGCGAATATGGGCATCTGGAAGACCAAATTTGAAATTTAGAATTTGGTTTATTATCTATTTCATATTTTGTAAACCTTTAATGAATTTTGGTTAACAAACTCAAGGATTTCAAGGCGAGCAATGGCAACACTCTACATTAAAAATATATGTATATATATATATATATATATATATTTCCAGCGAGTGAGACTATCTATCGGAATTCTAAAGATATGCCTTTTTTACAAATTTTATGATATTGCTGTTGAATTGAACTTTACGTAGTTTAAGTACGAAGAAGATGATAACACACAAAATTTAAAAAAACTCCCATTTGGGAGTAATAGAGAATCTGAAAGCTTTCAGATTTT